AAATCGCGTTGATCACACAGTCAACTCGTGTGCGGTGACTTTTATAGTTAAACTATTTTTCGGTACCGTGAAAATGACGCCACAGAAACGACACGCTACTGGTAACGATTGCCACTGTGAAATCCTCAGGCTTGCCGTAGTTTTTTTTGTTTGTTTGTTTGTTTTGACTGAGAAATTTCCCTGCGTCCCAAAAACGCACATTGTTTGGAACTGTGCGTCCTGTGGGTTAATTTTGCGTCTCGGACGCGGGACGCAGAGGTAACGAGATGGCTGATCTCTAAACATTCTCTGAGTACTACTATTATTACCACTCCCACTAATACTACATTAATTAATTTAATACCTTCAACTTCACAATAATAATAATAAAAAATAATTAAATCAACCATGATTTTAAACTATGTATTATCAATATTCATTATTCCAAACATGAGAAAGCATTCACCAAAAACATAACTTGAATCGAGCAAAAGGACTCCAAATCCCAACGGCCAAACCCGGAAGTGAAGTGCCGGCATTATTGACTCCAGCTGTAACGCAAATTACTTGGTTCAAACAAACATTATAGTGCCACCGCAGAAACGTGACGACTGTGCAAAAATAACTACATAAAAGACACCACTGTTACAGAAAGACTTTACACGCTATTTAAACTGCCGATCGCGAACAGAACAAACCGTGATTGAAACTAACTGTGATGCTGCTCTTTATTCGTTGCGCTAACTGTCACCTGTCAGTGGCAGACCCGCCCCTTTTAAAGCGCCAGCTTAATCCATCAGGATGCGTTTCCCTGGATGGAATTTATTTGATTCCTTCGTGGTTTTTGCGATCCTCGGTCCCTCTTTATACCTGTGGACAAGGGATTCGAGGCTCTAATCCCTCATTGTGTCCGAGGACCGGCAACCCGAGGCCAAGGCCAAGGCCAAGGACTTGACTCCCAAGGCCAAGGCCAAGGCCAAGGAATTGACTCCCAAGGCCAAGGCCAAGGACCAAGGACCGGCCTTCGGTCCTCGGCTCGAGGAACACATCACTGAATTTCATGCATTCATCTGCTCGTTGCAAGTTTGCACTGCTTGTATCCACGTGTAACCAAGAAAACAAGGCAGTCATTTGACATTCTTATTTAAATTACAATATATCTATTTCAGTGGTTCAGTTCAGTATAAGTTGGGCGGCAGTAGTTTCAAGGCAATGGTGTGACACTATTTGTGCATCTTTTCCACTCTGAATCTCTTCCTATATCCATGATCTAGTTTTATGTGTGGTGTGCAAAATGAAGTATGCGTGAAAATGTATGTTGAATTTTGCCTTGAAGGACACCTTACAATATGTAAAAAATAATAATGATTCAGATGTACCATATTTAGTGATTTAGTGAGTTTCAACTTGTTCAGTGAATGGTAAAAATTAACTTTGCTTTGATACTGTCATTGATTAAAATCCAAAATACCAGTTCAAGCAGCGGATGATGGCACATACCTCGGAGGTTCCACTGGCAAACAAATGATGGACAGGGTTGATATCACATGCGTTGTGCTCCCTGGTGGATGAGGCATAAATAGGCAAAAACACAAAGAAGAAGCATTTTTACTTAATGCAAAGATTTAGTGGATCATTTGTACTGGATAATGCTTTTTTTACACTCACACAGCATCTGTCTGAAGTGAGTTGAGGAAGCGACCTTGTTCAAGATTCAGTCTATAGATGTCTGAACTGGACGAAAAAATGTACAAAGATGCATTAAAGTTGGTCTGAATAGTGTCTCAAATCTGAAAGATCTGAAATATGTTCTCACCTACAGCCCACGAAATAAAGGTCACATGAGGGGTAATGGTAAGAAAAATCCCGACCAAACTTTGGAATTCGTGTTTTGTAGTAGTAACCGTGCTGGGAATGAAACTCCACATAACGGTTAGTGTGCAGAAAGACAAGCTGAGGACAAAAGGAGATTATCAGTCAAAAAAAACCCACAACATATTACACATGGACAAAATTCGTGGCACCTCAGTTAATAAAAGAAACAGAAAAAGAAAAAAAAACCTCTTTGAAATAATGTGAAACTGATAAATGTAATGGAAATAGGACATAATGCTTCTGTTTTTAAGTTCCATGACCACCATATAGGTGGAGGTAAATATTTTATCAAATGAGACCCAAGAACCTTCGAGAGAAAACGAAAAGGAAATCTCAGGAGTATGAAGGCAGACTGAAGAGAAACATGCTGCCTAATGTCACAAAGCTTGGTCTCAATTGCAGCTCATGACTTTTCCAACAGGATAATGACCCAAAACACACATCTTTGTCGTTACTGTCAGATTGCCACACATGGTGCCATAAATTCCTTCGACCGGGCGAGTGGCCCCACAACAAGTTTGACATTGACCAGACCGCGCCTGATCATCGCAGGCTGCCAAGAGATGGCAGAGGTCGTCAGGGAGGTTGCACAAAAAAGGAAAGAGGCCAGACAGCATGGAAACAGTTTGCGGGCATGCAGGACCGCGGGACACAGTGCAGGTCCGCGCCGACGCTTGTCGGTCTGAAACGCACCTTCTTCATGGAAATTACTTGATAATGCTCATTGGCCCATCAATCGAAGCCCCATTATTTATTTGAGCACATACAGCAAACTGGTAGAATTTGCTTGGCAAATCTATGAGTAAAGAGTATACAAAAAAAAATATCAATTATAATATTCCCAAATTACCTTTGAGTAGTCATCAGACAGGATGTCAAAGGCCACAACTTTGAAGGAGAGAAAGAAAACAAATGAAATAGTGGCTATTAATGAAATGGGCATGAACAAGATGAGGGTATGGTGTGTCAATTTGTATTTACCATCAGAATCCAAGCAGCGTTCAAACTTCAGTGAAAGCTGGTAGGTGTCATAACATCGAATCCTTGGCTTGTACGTCCCTACAAATATCATGCAGATTAGGGCTGGGCAATAATTTGAAATTGAATTGTGATTTCGATTATGGCTTCTCACAATTAAAAAAATATGAGAATCAAAGGAATACAATAAATGTGTCGAACAGCATGGTGTGTATTAAGTAAATTTTGAGTAGCTGAATTTTTAGCGTTTCCTAAGTCAATTAGTTTACTTGTCAAACTGCACGTCCAAGTATTTACTAAGGTTCCCCCTGAAATTCTAGGAGACAAACCGTCTTCCATTTTAATGACTCATGCTTCATTTACCTTTATCTTAGTATTGTATAATGCATAATAGATGTGACCTTGTTTTTGTAATAAAGATTATTTGTTGAAAATACATTTGAAGAGGACTTTGGAAAAAAAAGGTTTGCAAATTAAATCGCAATCACAATTTTGAGGGAAAACATAATCGGCCCGAATTACAATTTGATTCAATTTGATACATTTGCAGATTTTGTTGTCTTTATTAAGCTGTGACAACATGTAAAAAGCTTTCCAAAGTCCTAAATATTCAATGTTATTCAAAATTCAAAGAAAAAAACAAATCATCTGCAACATCAAAACGATCTATACCTGGTGTGCTTCTCTCATAAAATATTATTTGATACGTATCTTAACGGTGCAATACGATTCAAGGATGGTACATTTTAAAATTTCACAATTTGATTCAGTTCAGTTCACTGAAATCAAAACCGATATTCCTATTCAAAAGGGTTTTCATCACACCTCAACTTTCAAGCATTACCTGTTGCCAAGATGAATTGCCCATCCCTGGACACCTTTATGGACGTGCACACTGTGGGCATCTCAAAGTCCTGGATGAGCTCAATCCTGCGCTGGATGTCTTAAAATTCAAAAAAATACATTGCGACATTCCAATATTTCATTAGGACATGCAAAATGGATGTTTACATTACATGAATGTAACTTACCAACATCTTTCTTTTGCAGTTGCCTTTTCTTACGGTCTGATAGCCACTGAATGTTCAAAACAAATGTGTTTTAACTTTTAAATAAGAGTACACCGTTACGTTGCTCATTTGATTGTTTGATATGGAACTTGTTTGACTGATATTTGGTGGTAGAAATTTTTTATAAAACTATATGTTAACATATCTTGAAATATTTACAACGGTGGATCGCCGCTTAGCTAGCTAAAGTCAATTATTTTGTTGATGGAATGTCATTAAACTACAAGTTGAAATTTGTGTTTCTTACCTCCGGAAGGGACTTTCCATGGCTTAAATTATAAATCTTGACATCATTCACACTTGATATCTGCATTTTATAACTTTAACAAAGCTGCGGTTAGACATAAACATTATACGTAAGACACCGGTGTGCTTGACGAATCCCACGTTGCCTCGGTGCTAAACAGCAAGTAAACGTACCACTGACAAATGTGTCCGTCAAGAAACGAGAACAGCCCAAATTTAATTCGCTGCATTTTGGTTCCAAGTTACCGTGAGGTTGAAGTTCGATGTAGAAACGATCATCGGTCTGCATGATAGATAGACAGACAAGTAAGTAACACATAAAAAAACAAACACACAAATAAATAAATAAATATGCAAACAAAGTAGCCAACATTGTTTGTGCAGTTCGGATGTAGATTCCAAATATCTCATTCGTTTTTCTCTATGTTCTCCGACCCCCCTCCCACCCCCGCCTTTTTTTCTTTTCTTTTTTTTTGTGTAAATTTCTGTTATGTTATTAATCTTTTTTACGAGTCACTGCATTTTGACTGAAACTCATTAGAGCATTTTGAGTCGTTTATTTGTGTATCCCTTTATCACAAAACAGTCTCCAATGACTTCACAAGCCCACAATTGACAAATATTAGCGGTGTCCCTGATCTCATCACCCCAACATTTTGGTGGATGGGGATCCAAAAGGTAACTCAAATCTCCTGACATACATACTGCAAGACAACCCATGAAATAGTTACAATTTATTATTATTATTATTTTGTGTATGTGTATCGTTCTCACAAAATAGGTGTCTGAATAGTATCTTTGTGGCATATTTTTGTTAAAATACTTGAAAGATCAAGAATTATGGAACACTTCTCACACTATTTCTTGTCTTGTTGAAATCTGCCTGTTTTTAGCCCCATCTCAGTCGAATATCTGCTTCACACAAAACAAAGTTGCTGCACAAAACTTTGACATATTGACATTGATTTGATGTCTGGAAACAAAGCCATTAATTGATCTCACATTGACGTCGGAATAAAACTGCTCAAGTATTTTGCAATGAGTTGTTTTTAAAGTGCTCTATAAATAAAGTTGAGCTGAGTTTACTTTACATTTGAAGAGTGCGCAAACACTCTAAATGCCCAACTTTTTTCTTGACAAGCAATTATGAAGTCTGATTTCCAAATTTTCCGTGACATTTCCCCTTCAAATGCAAAGCATTGTGTTTAAATAATGGCAAGGTTGAGTCATATGACCTGCTTATCTGTATCCATGTTCTGGAAAAATGTGTTATTTTAGAAACTAAGTGAGCAGTAATTACAATTGCAGCGCAGTGTCCATTTTAAGAATGTGAAAGGTATCAAGAAATGTAATACAGGAGCTGACTGCTAGGGGGCATAATTTCTTCCTCAACACACCTTGAGCAAATCCTGTATTCAAACGACACCCGTTCTTTTAACCTCCCAAACACCCGCCCCATCTCTCTCTCTCTCTCTCTCTCTCTCTCTCTCTCTCTCTCTCTCTCTCTCTCTCTGCCTGTGCGAAACACATAAACTCGTGGCGTTCAGTCTGTCAGCTTTAAGAAGGAAAACGTGTTGCACATTGAAATCGTCTGCATACGCTCTAATTAGTAGGCATCCCTTTTCCGTGTTTCAGCATTTTGATTGCTCAAACTAAACAAGTGAAAAAAATGTGGACGATCCCGAAACCTAGGTACAGAACCAGTTCGTGTGGTGAGCCTGAGATCACCGTGAACATCGGCGGGGTACGAGTGGTGCTTTTCAGGGATGTTTTGAATCGTTACCCGGAGAGCAGACTGGCTGAGTTGGTTAACTGCTCGTCGGCGCAGAATCCTGAACTTTTTTCCTCTCTCTGTGACGACTTTGACCCTGGGCGAAGGGAGTTTTATTTCGACCGGGATCCAGATGCGTTCAAGTGCATTATTGATGTTTATTACTTCGACGAAATTCACATTAAACACGGCATTTGCCCCATTTGTTTCATCAAGGAGATGGAGTTTTGGAAAATAGACCAAAGTGCTTTGGACGAGTGCTGCAAAAGTTACTTGAGCGAGAAGGAGGGGGAGCTGAAAGAAATTGCGAGTAAAGTGAAGGTGATTTTGGAAGACATGGAGGTGGACCAGAGTGCAACGGGAACGCAGAGGTGCCAACGGTTCTTGTGGAGGCTCATGGAGAAGCCCGGTTCCTCTTTCCCTGCGCGCGTCGTCGCCATCGCGTCCTTCCTCTCCGTCCTGGTCTCAGCGGTGGTGATGTGCGTGGGAACCATCCCAGAATTGCAGGTAACAGACGCCGAGGGAGAGCTGGTGGAGCACCCGACTTTGGAGGCTATTGAAATGGGGTGCATGCTGTGGTTCACCGCGGAGTACCTGCTGCGCCTCGCGTCCTCGCCCAATAAGTTACACTTCGCGCTCTCCTTCATGAACATTGTGGACTTTATGGCTATTATGCCTTTCTACGTGGTCCTCAGTTTGACGTACCTCGGTACCAGCTCCATGATGGAATTGGGCAACGTTCAGCAGGCTGTGCAGGCGCTGCGCATTATGCGCATCGCGCGCGTCTTCAAGTTGGCGCGCCACTCGTCGGGACTGCAGACGCTCACGTACGCGCTCAAGAAGAGCCTCAAAGAGCTGGGGCTGCTGCTCATGTATATGGGCGTGGGTATATTCGTGTTCTCCGCTCTGGGCTACACCATGGAGCAAAGTCACCCCGAGACTCTATTCCGGAGCATTCCACAGTCCTTCTGGTGGGCCATCATCACCATGACGACGGTGGGATATGGAGACATCTACCCCAAAACCACACTTGGCAAGTGTAATGCGGCCGTGAGTTTCCTATGTGGGGTCATAGCCATCGCCCTGCCCATACACCCCATCATTAATAACTTTGTGGTGTTCTACAACAAACAGCAAGTGCTGGAGACTGCAGCCAAGCATGAAGTGGAGCTGATGGAGCTCAAGTCTGCTGGGGATGAACGCAGAAAAAACAGCGACAAAGATGACACTTATCGTGAATAACATTTCAGACTTCAGTGTAAAAACAACAACAACAAAAACAGTGAAAGCAGGGGTGTGCAATGACCTGCCATCCATTTTTTGAGCAGCATATCAAAAGTGATATTGTATAAGCCTGCACTGTATTTTTTTCTGCATCGGGTGGAAAGGCAGGAAAACAGGAGATGTTTGTTTCATCACTTATTTCCTCTATTTACAAATAAACTATTCATAAAATTCCCTTTGACGGGGCTCCAGACTGCCCCTAAATGCTGACATTTTGCCCCTACAATTTGATATAGTGGATTTTTTTTTTAAATTCTTAAATATTTTTTGTTACTGACAAACTTGGTGTAGTAGCTTACACTTCAGCCCATTTATCAGTACTAATGAACAGGGTGAATATTTACTTTGCAACACAATGTGCTCCACTAAATTTTCAACTTGTGTCCCTAAAATTAAAGGTGAGGGGCCACTGTGCTTCTTGTAAAAGAAGTTACTCTGGAGGTCTGTTCCATAAAACCCAAATGAATAAAGGTAATTTAGTTTCTCACAGCAAATGGCGTTGATCACCATTGCTTGTGTCACACGTATGTATATACACTTTATACAAAAGCAATATATAACTATTAACTACTTAATATTACCTACACCCATTGATTTGTTTTAATATGTTAAATAAATAAAAGGTCAATAATGTCAAAGTGTCCCTTGCGTTCTTTAATTTTTCTGTATGCTGCCCTTGGAAAAATAGGCTCTGAAATGCTGCGGTCGAACCAATCTGACTATTAAATATTCCTGCACAACAACAAAGCACCACACAAAGATAAGAGAGACAATAAATTCCTGCTCGTACACCACCACAGTGTATCCTTCAGCTGCGTTGCATATGATACTGTACATACGTATGTACCCTGCAGATTTATTTATTTAACCCTTATTTATCCAGGTAAGGCTACTGAGAACAGATTCTCTTTTGGAGTGCTGACCTGGCAGCAGACAGCAGAGTAAAATAGCAAAATAAAAACCAGTACAAAAACATAGGCGCAACAAAATATACAGCATGATATAGTTACATCATACATTATATCACATCATAACACATGGTAAATAAAAGTTGCGAGAGCAGCTAAAACAAGGTGCAGTGATCATGTAAAACATTCCTCAATTTTTGAATATTACAATTAATTATTGGTACATAGGTTTTACTGTAGGCGGCCCGGTTCCAGTGGTTAGTGCGTCGACCTCACAGTACAGAGGTGTTCGATCCCGGCTCCGGTCTCCATGTGTGGAGTTTGCATGTTCTCCCCGGGCCTGAGTGGGTTTTCTTCGGGTACTCCGGTTTCCTCCCACGTTCCAAAAACATGCATGGCAGGCTGATTGAATACTCTAAATTGTCCTTTGGTGTAATTGTGAGTGCGGATGTCTGTTTGTCTCTGTGTGCCCTGTGATTGGATGGCAACCCGTTCAGGGTGTCCCCCGCCTACTGCTCTGAAGATAGGCACCAGCATCCCCCGCGACCCTTGCGAGGATGAAAGCGGATCAGAAAATGGATGGATGGAAGTTTTACTGTTTATTGCAGTGTTCCTTTGATTTTGGGCAAAATTAACATGATGTATATTATTGTAGTTGGACCCTAATTTGCAGTCGTATATAGCATAGAGGTGTTTCTAATATTTTGCCATATGCACATCCTGTAGCTCTACAATAAGGTACTACTACTACACAATACAGTACACAGCACAGTAATGAGCATATTGGGGTGGCAGTGTTGTATCATCTGTAAGAAAGTGGGGAGTCATGGTTTGAGTATTGCCATGGCGGAAAAAAAAAGAAAACTTGGAGATGTTAGTCTGTTTTCTCACTACTGTCGAATGTGCCCCACAACACTGTTGTCACTTTGGACAGAACTGTCACAAATTTTTGAATCTTATTTTTCTCCAGCCTGATGTGCAACAAAAAAAACTTATTTATGACATATTCTTTGAGTAAATGTGAGCATTGTTCTTTCGCAGCATGCTTTGGAATCTCACCACGTGTGGTTTTAAAAGTTGTCAATTTTGACAAGGAGTGCAGTGATCAGGTGAAAAAACCATTGTGGCTGGCCTTGTAACATTTTTAACAGTAAACAGACGATAAAACCATGGAACACCTCAATAGGATGCAATGGGACTGACATTACCATACCTGTAGGACTTTTGTGTGTGTTTTTTGTGATCCCACACAAACCTTCACATTTACTGAGGCATTGTTACATCACTGTAGCTGGCAAAAACTCCAAACAAATGTACCAAATCATAAATAGTGTAAGTCAAAATTCCCTAAATGACCACTTCATTAGACAGACTTGTGCAGTACTTTTTAGGCAACTTTGCCTTTACGCAGAAAACAAGAGTGATGCGCATTGTCAGTGAGGTGTTAGTGTAATTATATATGTTCATTTGTGTGTTTGTCATTTGCAGTGGTGTAGAATGGCACTGCACCAAACTTGAAGCTGTTTTTCCACAATTACTGCTTGTGGTTATATGTGCGGGCTACATTATTCGAAACACCTTTCAGTATGATGTTTTGCTTAACCAAAACTATTCATCCATCCACCCACTTTTCTTCATTATGACAATTAAAAAAAAACAATCAGTTGAACTAATACAACATCAGGGCGGCCCGGTAGTCCAGTGGTTAGCACGTCGACTTCACAGTGCAGAGGTGCCGGGTTCGAATCCAGCTCCGGCCTCCCTGTGTGGAGTTTGCATGTTCTCCCCGGGCCTGCGTGGGTTTTCTCCGGGTACTCCGGTTTCCTCCCACATTCCAAAAACATGCATGGTAGGCTGATTGAACACTCTAAATTGTCCCTAGGTGTGAATGTGAGCGTGGATGGTTGTTCGTCTCTGTGTGCCCTGCGATTGGCTGGCAACCAATTCAGGGTGTCCCCCGCCTACTGCCCGAAGACGGCTGGGATAGGCTCCAGCACCCCCCGCGACCCTAGTGAGGATCAAGCGGTTCGGAAAATGAATGAATGAATGAATAATACAACATCACTCCAAGATGAGCAGTATTGTTGCAAATGCAGATTTTTTTCTCTATACAATAATGGATCTCCTTAGATTGTGAAAGTATAATACAACAAAGTGGTGAGTGCATGTCTCAGTAAATGGGGGAAGGGGGAGGTGGGGGGGGGGTCGGTAAATGGACTCCCCTCACCTGCCTGTTGATTTGATGTCAAGTCCATGTGTATATTGCTTGTGCCTTGCGTGTCACACGTTCTGAGGCAACGTTCTGGGTGAAAGCGCCGTCCCCAGCGGGAAATCTATACACCCACACACACTCTTACCACCTCACCCTGCATTCCCCCTGCTGTTTTTCGCTCTCTGCCGCTCATTCCTTCATCCAGCATCTTTGCTGACAAATTTGTCAGCATGACTTGCTGAACTGGCAGTGATATGTAAAGCTGTCATATGTTGATGAATATATCTGGCCTGTGTTTGGCTTTGACTTGTGACATCAAAAAGTGTTTAAGCCAAAGGTTTGCTCATTCCCACTCCAGTGTGACCCACTGGTGTGGGAATGATTGACTTCAACCAAAAATAGCACTTCATATGTTATGCATCACTGACCATTACAGATGAGTCACTACTTTACTGTGAGCCACAGACACATCTACAGTAGGTTGTACAGTAGATGCATTGCAAACTGTGCATCCGCCCATGTGAATGAAGGCATTTTGCTTGGGTATATATTTTTTTGTACGTATTTGATGAATGTCAAACTGTAAACAAACGTATCAAAGCACATTGTCAATAATGGGCTTCACCAGAGAGGTTTGATGCTTCAGAGGAGAGATCGCCCACGATCCTCCGAGTCTCAGTGCACGTGGGTGTCGATCGGAGTCTGGGTTGAAAGGTAAATACTGATAATTACTTCCCACAGGTTATCGATGAAACTGGGTGGTCACAAAAAAAATAGTAACACTTTTCGCGCACTTTAACTCACTCCACATAACAGAAAAAGTCATGATTTTATATTTATATTTGAACAACTACATTTTAAAAAAAAGTTTGAATTCAGTATGTACACAGCAGAAATACTTTGAATTTAAACTGAAGTATAAAAGTGAAGAGTATTGTTTGTAGGCCGATATACGTTTTGTTTTGTTAGCATGACTATGCAAAAAAAAATAGGGTTTTGATCGTAGTAATGTAATGACAACGGCAAACTTGCAATATCGCAATACTAACATTGCCACAATATCATCATTTTCATGTCACGACAATAAAAGTAGCACATCTGTTAAAAGGCCAGATTGTTTTCCATTCGTGCAGCTCCAGCAAACTCTGGTGGTAAGGTAATTAGTTCAGTTTCATTTGAATTAGGCATGTTTTGGCCACTTTGCTCACCTGGCCAAAATTATGTTGTGCTGTAGCGGTTATCACTCCTCCAAAACACAAAACAGTCATACCTGCAAATATTTTTCAACATTTCCATCATAAAACCTGATTCAGACGAGCACAGCATCTTGAACTACATAAATCATCATACGTTGCACTGCTGAGCTTATAGGAGCACAGGACAATAAATTGACTGGCGAATTCTGTTTTGGTCACTGCTATTATGTGCAAAAGTACTATACAGTATTGTGCTTTGTGTTTTTCCGGTATGAGTTTTTTTAACCAGTGCAGAGTGATTTTTTTTTTATATCGCCAACCACCCAACAATATCGTGTTGATTATCGTATCATGAGTTTAATACCGTGGAAGTGTCTTGTGAATACCCACATAATGGTGGCAATCCTGTGCCATTCATGCGATGACACCCAAGATTTGAACCTGCGTCACCAGATGCTAATCAAGTCTCCTGGCTGCTGATTTCAAAGCACATCTCGCTAACTCAGCGGCCAGTAACTTTTTTTGAAGGCTCTGACGAGTGAGGTACACTGATGCAGGCGCAAGTTGGCATCCATTACACGTTCATGTCAAAATATACCGTATACATAGCAAGCATGGCTGGCTCACAAAGCTCCACGGCAGCAGTCGTCCCACCTCACAAGGTC